TTTACAATTTACATGCAGGTATCTTCTCTCTCTGATTCAATACTCAAGAAGTCCATCCCCTTCGTGTATGGGGCTTTGCCCCTTTTATAGCCCAAGCTTTGGGGGTGGTTTTCCTTTGTAGGTAAAAGTACTCGAGTGGCCTATCTTTCTAGGCCTAGACCGTAGCCCACCAATCACCTTTTGCACTGTTCACTCAGTCAATTGGTCTTCCATTACGGCTCTGAAGATTCCTGTAATCCCTCACTACCCATTGTAGGGCGGTTTAGGGGATTACAATTAATCCTTGTACTATAGACGTCTTCCATCCTTAGACGCAACCTGTGATGTCAGGCTCCTTTCTGAAGAGTATTCCCCTCGTCGTCTGCGCTGCGTAGACCTCATGTCCTTCTTGGCAGTCGATCCTTTCCAGGAATTCTTGTTGCCATAAGATCGACGGCATGACTGGTCGACGGTAAGCCAGGTCGATGCCCTAAGCCAGGCCTTTCTTTGCAGCGTAGAGGGGAAGCGAGCTTCAAGCATCGATGGTTGTCACCTTTTTGAGAGAAAGTGGGGCCACGTGTAACGCTGTCGCCGTTCCACATGTCACCCATATTTTCCCACACAACAGATGCCCCCCAGGTCGAGGGTTTCCTTTAGACAGTCTCGAGCTAGGTTCGGGTGTTTGTCTGTGCCTCGGGTGTGGGAACCTAATTCTGAGCCTTCTTCCGCAATGATAGTCTTGATGCTTTAGCTTTCCTCAAGGAATGTAACTGTCGCGTCGGTCATTTCACCAGGCTGACGTAAGGCTTTATTTTGAAAAGGTGAATACGAGCCCTTGGATCATGCCTCTTCATCTTCCCGCCTTTGTTTGTTGCCGTCAGATCTGGGTAAAATGCCATTGCCGTTGGATTTTATGAACCTTATCTGACGGTCAAGGGTCGAGGGCTTGTTTTCCTTTAAATACTCCTCCAACCGAAGCCATTTTTTCCCAAACTTCTTGAACTACTGTTACTCTACCTGAGTTCTTTCTTATAGATTCTGACTTGCATCCCTTGCTCTTCTCGGTGCCTCATGAAGCTATCTCGGAACCCGACTTTGCCCAGATTCTGACTCACCGGTAAGCTTGACGATTGCTTGTTCATATTGTTTAATAACATTACTGGCTTTCTTATTGAACCATACACATGTTAATATGGGGAATGTAGAGGATAGAGACTTTACCATATGCTTTGTTTGACCCACGTAGGATAGTTTTTCTGATTTCTGGCCGATTGTGGTCTCTGACTCCTGGGTTCTAATGAACGTCGGTTGTTCATGAACATTCACCGTTACCATTTTTATATGAATGGTCGACGTTATATTGAGAGGCGCCAGTGGTAATTGAGCAATCGTTATTTTAGAATGGTCGTCATTTACTCCTTCCTCTCAACTTAGGATTTTGACTTAGCTCATTGTCTTTTTATTTTTTTATTTTTACCACCAGAACAATGGCCTCAAACCCTACCCATTGAGAGGACCCGTCCATTGTACAACCAGACTCCCCTTCCGTGGTGGAGATTTAATGGTCGTCTTCCTCATCAGACGGTGACTCAATATTAAGTGAAATAGAAGAATACATGGGCGGACCAAGCGAGGGTTTCAGCGATGAGTTTGACAGCGTCGACCATATGATGGAAGAAGAAAAAGTTAATAAGATCCCTTTCAAGGGAGGCAGCGTATGTGGGGTCGCCGCTTCAGTGGTGGATGCCCCCTTGGCTGCTACGAACGGAGACCTAGACAGGCCATTTTTTATCGCTGATGTCGTGGCGTCGAGGGTCTAAAACAAAGACATTATTCGGGCTATCAAAGAAGGTTGGATCGACGAGAGGTGGTTTGATACCTCCTCCCGGATGTACATTTTAGGACCAGCATGCCTCCTACCGGGTATCTCCTTGTATATACTCGGGCTGTTACGGCTGGGATGACCTTACCCGTTCATCCCTTCGTCAAAGACTACTGCCACTTTTATGGCATCTCTCCTGCCCAATTAGCGTGAATTTTTGGTATTGTTTTGCCAGCGCCTGGGTTTTTTGGAGCCAGCGGTTCAATATGGACCTACCGCTGGATAAGTTTATGTTTATGTATAGATTATGCCACGTCGCCAAATGCGAGGGGTGGTATTTTTTGAGTGGGCATGGGCGATCCAAGCCTAGGCTTGGTACGTTAATATGAGGTATTCCCTCATCGTCACATGGGTGGAAACCCATGTTTTTCATGATACGGGGGCCTTTTGACTTTCGCCCCGACGACCGTATGCCTTGCCGAAGGAAGGTGCAAATGTCATTTGGGAATATGGGTGAGAATTTGACACTTCATTTCTTTCCTTTTCCCTCTCTTATCTTTTCTTTTACAGCGCTCACAGTTCTTTTATCCTGCAGTTAGCCACGATCGGCCGAAGCTCTCTGGGAATAGATTGGTGAGCTTTTTTGTACTCGGAGAAGGCTCACCATATTGACACCCTCTTGACCGAGTCTGACCTTAGAGAGGCAGGGTTGATTCTTGACCTTCCAGGCCCCTCTGATCTTCCTGCCATCTGTGACTATTTTCATCTACGCGACGAAGGTAAACTCATGGGCTCAACGCTTCCCTTAATCTTATTTGGCATAACTGTACGTTGACTGCATTCTGACTGGTCATTTCCATAGAAATGACTTCTTTGAGGATTCAGCTCCGAGGCAACCAGCAGCTTCAGCCCGGCCTGTAGCCTCAATCCAAAGGAAAAGAGAAAGCCAGCACCTCTTCCCCGGCGCCGAAGAGAAGGAAAACCGCGGAGGTTTCTTCAGGGTCAGGGGTGGAAGCTCCTGTGCCCAAAAGAGGGTGTGAAGAGAAGGTGCCGGTGACTGAGACTTGGACGCTGGCAGTTCTAATCCCCGATGTTGCTGGTATTCCTTTGCCGCCTAGGGAACGCGTGCTTATTCCGGGGGCAAAAGTCATAGATTCTAACTTCCAAGTTTCGCATATTTCTGACGCGGAGATTGGGGCCATGCTGAAGATTCCTCCCTATTTCTCCCTTGTCTTCCAGGCCTTATATGAATCATTCCTTGAGCCGCACTAGATCTCCGCCGCTCAGTCTTCTCCGGTGGATCGTCAGCGCAAGCAGATTTCCTTCCAGATTCATATAAGCTTTGACCGTGCTTTTTTCATTTTAGATTCGTCCTTCGCATCTTTATTTTCTGACTTCCAATTTCTCAGGGCCTAGTTCTTGCCATTCTCAACCTCATAGATCTAGTCAAGGTTAAGGAACGTGGTAAGGAGATGGACAGTCTAGAAGCCAAGCTTACATCTCTTCTTGACGATGCCAAGGAAAAGTGCTCGTCTGCCTCGAGGAGAGGGACGTGGCCGTGGCCAAGTTGGTGAGTTTGGAAGGGGAACTGGCCAAGCTGCCGAGTCTTGGAAATGAGTTGGCCAGTTTGAAGGCTGCGGTCGAAGAGCTTACAAAACGGGCGGAAGCTTCTGAGAAGAAATCGGCCAAAGCTACTGAGGCCGTGAAGAAGTGCTTCGCCGAGGGAAAAGCTGAAGGGAAGAAGGAAGCCGAAGTCGAGGCCTCAGCAATGCTCGACACCAAGCACGCAGAGATTATTGAGGAGTTCAAGGCTTCCCCGGAGCTCATTGACATTCGCACCAAGGACTTTCAGTCTGTTGGACAGCAAATTGTTGATCTGATCAAACAAGAGCATCCCGAGTAGGATTTAAGCTTCCTTTATATTCCTCCTCCTCCTGCTGACGACGGTAATTCTTCCCCGCCTGGCGATGGTGATGACTCGGTGGTTGGTGGCGATGCTTAGGGTTTTTCTTTCTTTTTTGTAGTGTTATATGTTTATACATTTTATATAATATTGGAATTTCCTTTCATTTTATTTGTTTTTGAAGATAGTAGATTTCATAATTGGTCGTCGCTTTCCTTAGAGGAGCAATTTATTTTTACCCCTTGGGGTCGTCGTCGTAGTAAATTTCGTAAAATTTGCTAAGTGTTCGCCTCTCCTCCTTGGAGGAGACGACGTTAAATTTACCCTTTGGGGTCGTCATTTTCTAGTGATCCATAGATCCCTTACTAGCCCCCATGTCTATTTAATATACCTTAATTTTTTAAGCAGACATGTTATTAAGGGGTAAATTCCTTTCTTATTTTTGAACAATATTTCTACAAACTCATCAATTTATTTAGATTGCCCAAAATATAATTAAGATGCGTAAGAATTACATACACTCTTGGTAGTACAATTTTAGTTATTCTGCATTCCATGGATGTTGAATTCGATTGCCGGTGAGACTTTCCAAAATGTAAGTGCCAGGACGCAACCCTTCTCTTATTCGGTAGGGTCCTTCCCAAGTTGGGCCCAGAGGACCAGTATTTTTGGGTTTCGTACTCTGCGTCACCCTTTTCAATACTAGGTCTCCTGGGATGAACCTTATTTGTTTAACTTTCTTGTTGTAATACCGTGCTGCCCTTTGCTGATAGGTGGCGAGGCGTAGTTGGGAGTCGAGCCTTTTTTCTTCTAATAGGTTGAGTTCTCCATTCATGGTTTCTGCATTACCGTCGTCATTGTAGACAATAGTTCTTAGAGTCAGCGTCTCAATTTCTACGAGGAGTACCGCCTCGATGCCATACGCCATGGAGAAGGGTGTTTCACCCGTGGTGGTTCAGTTTGTCATTCTATATGCCCACAGGACCTTTGGAAGTTCTTCGGCCCATCTCCCCTTTAAATCATCGAGCTTCTTCTTTAGGGTATACTTCAATATTTAGTTGACCGCCTCGACTTGACCATTGGACTGTGGATGTATTGGCACCGAGAAGTCTTTTTGAATGCTTAAGCTATCGCAGAACCTGTGTGTTGAGGCATTATCGAATTGTTTTCCATTGTCAGATACTATTGAGTGTGGGACCCCGAATCTACACACGATGTTGTTCCACATGAAGTTGGCGCAAGCTGCTTCTGTGGTCGTTGTTAGAGCCTTTGCCTCTGCCCATTTAGTGTAGTAGTCTAGTGCGTCCACATGAAGTTGGCGCAAGCTGCTTCTGTGGTCGTTGTTAGAGCCTTTACCTCTGCCCATTTAGTGTAGTAGTCTAGTGCAACGATGGTGAACTTAAAGCCTCCCAGTGCGAGGTGTAAGGGCCCGATCAAGTCGACTCTCCATTTGGCAAAGGGCCATGAACTGAGAATGGGGGTTAGGTTTTCTTGGGGTGCTCTAGGAATTGTAGCATATTTTTGGCACTTATCGTAGCGTCGAGCGTATTGGAACGCGTCTTTTTTAAGCGTAGGCCAATAGTACCCCTGCCTCAAAACCTTAAGAGCTAAAGACTGCCCCCCAGTATGATTACCGCATCCTCCTTCATGGATTTCCCGGAGGACCTCCTGGGCTTCGCTATCGTTTAGGCACCGCTGCAAAGGCATTGAATAGCCTCGTCGGTAAAGCAAACCATCGTACAATAGGTACCTGGTGGCTCTATACCTGATTCGTCTGGCGTCGTCTTTATCATTCGGTAGCTTTACATTTGTTAGATATTGGATAAGTGGTGTCATCCAACCCTCATCCGTCTGGATGGTCAAGGCCTCAATTTTTTCCTCAATGGTCAGCCGCTCCAATTCTTCGATAGGAACGATCCCTAGTATGTCGAAATCCCTTGAAGATGCTAGCTTTGCCAAGGCGTTAGCGTTGGTGTTCTCAGCTCGTGGTATTTGAATTATTTCATAGCTTTTGAACTTGACGAGCTCCTCCTTCACCTTTCTCAAGATACACCCATTTTTTTGCCGCGCGCTTGGTATTCCTCGTTTACTTGTCCAACGACCAGTTGAGAGTCGCTGAAGATGCCGAGCCTTTTAATTTTCAAGTGATTCACTAATCGTAGTCTTGCAATCAGCGCCTCATACTCAGCTTCATTATTCGACACCTTGAATTTAAATCATACCATCGAAGTAATCTTGTGGCCTTCTGGGCTGATCAACAGGATGCCGGTGCCTGACCCGTTTTTGTTCGACGCTCCATCCACATAGAGCTTCCACTTCGTCATCTCGACTTCTTCGCGTGTGGCAGGAGTCGGTCTATGAGAGAACTCAGCCAGGAAATCAGCCAGCGCCTGTCCCTTGATTGCTACTCTTGGTACATACTTAATGTCAAACTGGCTTAGCTCCACCGACCATTTGAGAAGTCGACCAGAAGTTTTGAGCTTTTGCAATACCTGTCTTAACGGGTGGTTTGTAAGAACCCGTATTGTGTGGGATTGAAAGTAATGCCGAAGCTTCCTTGACGCTACCATCAGGGTGAGGGCCATTTGTTCCATTTCAGTGTACCTTGACTCGGCGTCGAGGAGTCTTTTACTTACGTAGTAGACCGGCAACTGGAACCTTTCTTCCTCTCTTATTAGCACAGAGCTCACGGCGTGTTGTGACACGGAGAGGTGTAGGCTCAACTCCTTGTCAGGGATAGGTTTTGAGAGGATCGGGGGCCTGCACAGGTGCTCCTTTAATTTTTGAAAGGCCTCTTCACATTGTGGTGTCCATTCAAAACGCTTACTTCCTTTTAAAGCATCAAAGAAAAGGAACGCACTTATCCGTTCCTTTCGATATGAATCTATTCAGAGCAGTGACACATCCTGTCAACCTTTGCACCTCCTTTGGTTTAGTTAGAGACCTCATATCCTGCAAGGCTTTTATCCTTTTGGGATTAGCCTCTATCCCCCAGTTACTGACCATGAAACCAAGGAATTTCCCTGATCCAACTCCAAAGGCGCACTTCAGGGGGTTTAGTTTCATGTGGTATCTTCTCAATACGCCAAACATTTCTCCCAAATGATCAACATGCTGGGTGGCCCTGGCACTTTTTACAAGCATATCATCGATGTAAACTTCCATTGATTTGCCGAGTAGTTGAGCAAACATTTTATTCACGAGCCTTTGGTATGTAGCCCTTGCGTTTTTCAAGCCAAAAGGCATTACATTGTAGCAGTAGAGGCCTCTATCGGTTATGAAGGATGTGTGCTCCTCGTCGGTTGGATGCATGGGGATCTGGTTGTATCTGGAGTAGGCATCCATAAAACTCAGCATCTTATGCCCTGCAGTGGTGTCGACCATTTGGTCTATTCGAGGGAGCGGGAAACCATCTTTTGGGCAGGCTTTGTTGAGGTCACTGAAGTCGACGCATGTTCTCCATGTTCCGTCAGGTTTGACCACCAAAACGGGGTTCGAGACCCATCGTGGGTAATGGGCCTCTCTAATGAAACCATTGTTGATTAACTTATCGACCTCTTCTTTCAATGCCTCATACCTCTTCGGGTTCATCAGTCGACGCTTCTGGCATTTGGGGGGATATGAGGGGTCAATATTTAGAGAATGGCATATGACTTCTGAGTTGATCCCTTCCATATCTGCATGATTCCAGGCGAAGACATCCAGGTTCTTCTTGAGGAAGCCCTCAACTTCCACCCTAAGTGATGGGGTTTTGTCAAAACCTACTTTTAGCACTCTGGTTGGCTCGTCCTCGTCGACTCAGATCTCCACTAGTTGCTCGATGGATTAAGACCATGCGACCTCCTCTTGGACCCTGGGGTCAATGTCCTCAATGGCGCCTTGATAGACCATTCAGGCCTCCTGCCTCCCCAGCTGGTCATATCCGCACATGGCATCAGAATACGCAACCCTAACCTCGTATTGGTTGCTTTTTATTTCACCTACACCGTTTGGGATAGGGAATTTGACCTTCTGGTGGTAGATGAAGGTTATTACCCTCAGCGCTTGAAAGGTCAGCCTCCCAATGATGGCATTGTATTGGGAGCCTCCCTTTATTACCACAAAATTAGCCATTATAGTGGCTTGTCGAGGTTTCTCCCCGGCGGTTATAGGCAGCCGGATTGTCCCCTGAGGGATGAAGGAGTCCCCAGTGAAACCGTACAACAGCCTAGAGGTTCTTTCCAATTGCTCCTTTGGGATCCCCATCTTTTCTAGGTAGTCGGAGTATAAGAGGTCTACCGAGCTCCCATTGTCCACCAAGATTCGGCATAGGGTGTGATTTCCAATTACGGCTTCTACCACCAAGGTGTCGTTGTGGGGGAAGTGAACCCCGTTGGCGTCGTCTTCGTTAAACGCTACGTCAGTGTTGCCGAACCTTGTTACTTTCATGGCGGAGACACTCCAGAACCTTTCCTAGTACACCCCTCTGGCTTCATGGGCGTAGTCTTTTTGAGATCTCCTCGAGTCTCCTCTAATATATGGACCACGGAGGATGGTTTGTATGACGCCGATGGGTTCTCGGTCCTCTGGCCGCTAGTTCTCCTCTCAGCTTCGACCGTCATTTTGGCCGCCGTGGCCATCATTTCTTGGTCTCCGCTCGGCCTTAAACTCTTGCAGCCTTCCCTCATGGATTACCCTTTCTATCTCATCTTTAAGATCGGTGCAATCATTGGTGTGGTGGCCGATGTCGCCGTGGAACCTACAATATTTTTTCTGGTTCCTTCGGCTGGGATCTAACCTCATCAGCTCTGGGCGGCGCAGTAAGTTCCCGTGACCTACCTAATTAAACACTTCCTCGACTCCTACTGTTAATTCATGGTAGGAATCGTACCTTTGAAACGGTCGAGGCTTGCGGTTCTCCTCTTGCCTCAGCTTCTTAGCTTCTGGAGTGTTCGGCGCCGAAGCAGGCTGCTTGTCCCTACTTCCTCTACCTCATCGTTTCTTTATGTCCTGCTTTCCTACCGTCGACCTCAGTCCCTTTGCTTTTGTTAGACCTGTGCTCGGGGTCGTTTGCATCTGGTTCCTCGGCGTTGATGTACCCTTGTGCTCGTGCAAGGAATTCTTTGTAACTGGACGGGGGCTTCCGGTTCAGCTCTCTCTTGAAGGGGGTATTTTTCTTCATGCTAGATAACGCCCCCATCAAGGCCTCCCTGTCGGTTATGTCCGTCGTTGTGACGACAGCTTCCCCATACCTTACGAGCCACTCTTTTAGTGACTCGTTTGGCGTTTCGTATATCGTTGTCAAATTCTGCTTTGGAGAGACATATTTTTTCACTCCCATAAACTAGAGAGAAAATGCCTCCTTCAACTCATCCCAGCTTGAGATGGAGTTTGGCTTTAGCGTTCAAAACCATCTCCGGGCAGAGTCCGTTAGATGGTTTTGGAAGGCTCGGCATATGATTTCCTCGGCATATCCATGCAAGAGCATGTGCCCCATGTACATTTCTAGGTGATTGTCAGGATCCCCTCTGTCGTCATATGGTGGGATTGACGATGACCTGTATTTACCGGGGAGAGGTGGCGCCATAATTTATGCAATAAACGGGTGGTCATTCGTCCGGCTAGGTGTGATTTCAACGTTCAACACCTCAGCCACTCACCCTATATTTTTCTTTAGGCCGGTGACATCGCCTGTGAGCTTTTGCTCTAGGTTGGCCATGCGCTCCATAATGGCTCGTGCCTCCTCCGTTGAGATTGCTGAGCCGGCTCCTCTCGAAGCTTCTGCCCTTTGTGCGTTGGGTCCGCCCCTTGCCCGTCCGCCCACTTGCACCGACCCCGTTTCTCATGGAAGGTTTTCACCTAGGTTCTGAGGCGGTGCTTGAGGGTTTCCCAGGCCTCTGGCTATTTGGTTCTCATGAGCCCGGGGTTCGGCAGTCCTTAGACGACTGCGGGAGGATTGGGAAGGTCGAGGCCTGGGATCTCTAAGATTTTCACTGTCCCTGACTCCTTCTGGGATATCTTGGCGGTCACCGGGGTTATGGTTTCCAGCTACAACAGCTTCTAGCGGTCTCGGGGTGTCTTCCAGAGGCGGCATCGAGTTTCTTCCATCCAAGCGCTCAACGATAGTCATCAGTCCCTGCACCAGGTCAGTCAGAGTAGTGAGCTGGGCCTGCATCTGCACAGGGTCCGGTCGAGGCACGTCTAGGGGTGGGACTCCATTCCTAACTGGAGGTGGGTTTTCTTCCATCCCGTCGTTCGCCGGGTGTGTGGCAGTTTCTTCGATCTGGCTGCCTTGGTTGATGGCCTCAATTCTTCTTCTTGGAGGCATGTTAACAAACGCATGAACCAGAGATTCTGGGTTCGAGTCCCTAGCAGAGTCGCCAATTGTTGACGGCTGGATTTCGTCAACAGAAATACACCGGGTTACCCAATGGTATCCCGTTGGGTTACCGGTTGAAAATTAACTGTATATTTAAAATCAGGCTGTGAAGTGTTTGTTGTATTTTTGGAAGCATGAGTGTAACGCTTGAATGAGAGGACACACGAAATTTATAGTGGTTCACTCTGATACTGAAGAGCTACATCCACTTGTGTATTGTATTTCTCTTTGGACTTTTACAATTTACATGCAGGTATCTTCTCTCTCTGATTCAATACTCAAGAAGTCCATCCCCTTCGTGTATGGGGCTTTGCCCCTTTTATAGCCCAAGCTTCCTTCGGGGGTGGTTTTCCTTTGTAGGTAGAAGTACTCGAGTGGCCTATCTTTCTAGGCCTAGATCGTAGCCCACCAATCACCTTTTGCACTGTTCACTCAGCCAATTGGTCTTCCATTATAGCTCTGAGGATTCCTGTAATCCTTCACTACCCATTGTAGGGCGGTTTAGGGGATTGCAATTAATACCTGTACTACAGACGTCTTCCATCCTTAGACGCAACCTGTGATGTCAGGCTCCTTTCTGAAGAGTATTCTCCTCGTCATCTGCACTACGTAGACCTCATGTCCTTCTTGGTAGTCGATCCTTTCCAGGAATTCTTATTGCCATAAGATCGACGGCACGACTGGTCGATGGTAAGCCGGGTCGATGCCCTAAGTCAGGCCTCTCTTTGCAGCGTAGAGGGGAAGCGAGCTTCAAGCGTCGAGGGTTGTCGCCTTTTTGAGAGAAAGTGGGGCCACGTGTCACGCTGTCGCCGTTCCACATGTCACCCATATTTTCCCACACAACACTTATAGCTTTTCTCCAAACAGTTGTTAGCTTCATGCTATTGACTTATTAATTTTACTGTAGTTCTCTTGTGTAAGATGTTTTGTTGTGGAATAATAGCATGCTCCGTCGAGCCGAAGTGCTTATATAAAGTCGACTTCAAAGTAGCTTAATTTGCTCCGAAGGACTTTGTAATGAAGTTGTCTCCGAACCAATCAGATCAGCTTCGAAGGTTTGTCATAGAAAAACTGTGTCTAGAGCAAATATGTTCCTTTAGTTGTAGCACTTTCATTCAATCATTTGATTTAGCTTTGTTATGTCCTAAGAATGTTGTTACTTGCTTCGAGCAAATACTAACAATCATGTTTTGCTTTGAAGCTCCGTCATCGCTCGTACAAAGACACTTAAGAAGACCTGCCTCCAATGCACCATAGACTTGAATTCAATGCTGAAGATGGCTTCCAAAAGGCAGTCTGACAAGTTACTGATGGGGAAGTAATGCTTGGAACGGATCTGGAGGATTTTCCCACAGAGCAATGCATGAAATGCCTCATCGATAGAGGTGATCTTCTTCTAGTCCCTCTACTGTTCAAATCTCCTTCTTCTCCATTGTGAGGTTGGGTAGAATGGATGAGCTTTGTCCTCCGAGACAAGAAGACTCGTACAAATTTGGAGGCCGCCAGAATGCTTCCTTTCCTTATTTCCTCCAGCATTTTCAAGGTGAGTAGGGATTCTCAGGGCTCAAGGAATTTGCTCCGTCGATGGAATAAAGAGCGGAGTAGGTTGGGGAGAATTTGGCATAGGCCTAGACGACCTTTGCATGATGTTCCAGTTACCCTGTTGTGGGCCATGTTTCTGTGTTTGACATTAAGCTCCATTCTTAAGAAGAGACCTTTGCATGATGTCGTACAAGCAAGATGTCTAGTTTCATCGCATGGACTCGTTTCATTTACAGAGATGTGGATGAGAAAGGCGTTTTCACTA